AGACAATCCAAAGATAGACCCATATGGATACAGTAAACTATTTTTTTGACAGATACAAAAGTAATTCAGTGGAGGAAAAACAGCCCTTTTAGCAAATGGTGCTGGAGCAATCAGACATCCACAGGCAAAATACTGAGTCGCAACTTGTGTTATATTTTATGGAAAAATAAACTCAACATAGATCTCATATTTAAATATAAAATTTGGGACTATAAAACATTTAGAAAAACATAGGAGAAAATCTTGAGGATCTCAGACTAGGCAGAGATTTCTTAGACTCAACCCCAAAAGCGTGATGTGTAAAAAAGAAAAATGGCTAAATTGGACTTCATCAAATAAAATGTTTGTTCTGTGAATGACCTTGTAAAAGGATGAAAAGCAAAACTACAGAGTGGAATTAAATATTTGCAAACTACATGCCTGACAAAAGACTAGACTATATAATGATCTCTCAAAACTCAATGGTTAAAATTGGCAAAAGACATAAAGAGGCATTTCACTGAGGAATATACACAGATGGCAAATCAACATGAAAAAGTGTTCAACATCTTTAACCATTAGAGAAATGCAAATGAGCGCCACAGTGAGATGTTACTACACAGCTATCAGAATGGTTATAATAAAAAATAGTAAGAATAGCAAATGGTGTGGAGCATGTGGAGAAATAGTACCAGTCATACATTGCTGGTGGGAATTTGAAATGGTACAGCCACTCCGGAAAACACAATGTCTTAAAAATAAACAAAAATTAAGCATTACCTATCATGTAACCTAGCAATTGTATTCCTGGGCATTTATTCCAGAGAATGAAGATTTATGTTCATGCAAATCCTGTACACGAATGTTTATAGCGGCTTTATTCATAATAGCCAAGAACTGGGTACGACTCAGAAGTCCTTTGACAGTTGAATTGTTAGAGTTTGGTAATTCCGTGTAATAGAATACTACTTAGCAACGAAAAGGAACGAACTATTGATATGTGCAACCTAGGTGAATCTCCAGAGAATTATAGAGTGAAAAAAAGCCAATCTCAAAAGGCTACACTATATTACTTCATTTATACAACATTCTTGAATTGACTGTAGAAGTGGAGAACAGATTGGTGGTTGCCAAGGATTAAGAAGAGGTTGGGAGGGAAGAGAAGTGGCTATAAAAGAAATAGGAGGGATCCTTGTGGTGATGGAAATGTCCTGTATCTTGACTGTATCAGCGTCAATATCCTCTTTGTAATATTGTCCTATAGTTTCCCCCTACCATTGGGGAAAACGGGGTAAAGGAAAATGGGATCTCTATTTATTGCATGTGAATCTACAATTATTTCAAAATAAAATGTTTAATGAAAAAAATATATATGTACCTGATATAGCATATTTAAGCTCTATGAAAGAATATATAACGGGGGGGCCAGCCAAGTGGCTCAGTTGGTTAAGAGCTTGAGATCTGAGCAACAGGGTTGCTGGTTCGATTCCCACATGGACCCATGAGCTGTGCCTGAGCTGAGCTGCTGCTGAGCTGCCAACAGGTGACAGGATGGCTCAGCTGGTTAGAGCATGTGCTTCTAACAAGGTTTCTGGTTCGACTCCCACATGGGATGGTGGTCTATGCCCACCTGCAACTAAGATTGAACATGGCACCTTCAATCTCGCGGCTGAGGTGCCGCGAGCTGCCAATGGGCAGCTGGATGGTGACTGGACTTGGAGCTGAGCTAGCTGCATCCTCCACAACTAAGATTGAAGGACAACTTGGCTGTTTCCCTTCCCCAATTACCCAATAAAATCTAAAAAAAAAGACCATATAATGGAGAAAGAAGTCAGCCTCTCCTGTATGTGCCCTTCCCCCATTCCATTCCTTAGAAATTAGTTATTATTTTTTTCTATCTCCTTCAATAGACATTGAATATATGTACATGTGTGTGTGTAAAAAACACAAACAAAAAGTACCTCTTCACCTTGCTCTTCTTAATTGGTCTTGGAGCTGCTATATAGGTACATACACATTTATCAAATTGTTTTCCAGCTAAGTAATGCCCCATTGCAAAGATGCATCATTTTTTTTATGAAGTTACCTAATGAAGGGGATTTAAATTGCCTCAAATGTTTTGCTATTATGAACAGTGATGAAGTCAACTCATTATATGTATGTATGTGTTTGAACTCATGTTCAAGTTTATTTGTAGGATAAATTCCTTGAAGTAGAGATCTGAGTTGAAAATCATGTGCTTTTACATTTGATAGATAGTACCAAATTCTCCCCAAGAAGTTAAACTTACATTCTCCCCAACAGTGGAATAGCCTATTTCCTGATATTCTTGCCAACAGTTTATTTCATTTTTTGATCTTTATCAATCTCACAAATGAAAATTTATTGCCTTTTTAATTTGCATGTCTGTAATTTTGAATGAGGTTGGTCATTTGTTTAGTTTTATAAACTAAGTTAACATGAAAAACAAAACTTCTCCAGATTTGGATTACATATGTTTCTTAAAAATGCATAAACTTCTTTTACCAATTAGATTTTTTTGAAGTTTTATCTTAAATTTATTTTAAAATTACCAAACAATATGTACATATCATAAAGATTTAAACAATACTAAATATTGACTGTCCATTCCATTTTCCAAATCTCCCTGCCCGTCTTTTCCAGATGTAATCATGCTAATCTGTATACACAAACTTATATCTACAGAATACATATCTATACATATACTTATAATTCTATAAAAATTGTTCAATAACATTTAAAAAATTAATTTACCTTTGCCAAATTTCCATGTCATTTAGCCATGTCAGTCTCATTTCTTCTGTTAAAATTTACATAAACAATGTTCAAATATATTCTTTCAAAGATTCATAGAATAAAAAATGTATGAGCAAACTGTCAAGGTCCCTTTTTACCCACTCTCTTTTTCCCAGATGTAACTGCTTTGTTGTGTATCTTTCTAGAGTCTTTTAAAATGAACATACAAACAAGTACACTTTTTTTTTAAAAGATTTTATTGGGGGGTTGGGGGAGGGGAACAGCATTGGGGAATCTGGGAAGGGGAACAGATAAGTTGCTGTCCTTTTTGTTCTTCAGTCTAGTTGTGGAGGACGTCGCTTCACTGGCCCATGTTGTTATTATCACTGAGCTCTTTGCAGGTGAGCCAGATCAGTAGATGGCCACTGAATGGCCACTCACGGCAGCTCACGCTGGTTGCCAGCCACTCACGATAGCTCACGACAGCCCACTGCAGCCTCACTGCAGCCTACCGTCATGGGTGACTCACTGCAGCCCAGCTCCAGGTCGAGCTGTTGTTCCCCATTTTAGCTGTAAAGGCAGCATCACTGGCCCTCATGTGGGATCCAAACTGGGGCCCTGCTGTTCAGAGCTGGCGTCCCAAGCCAGCTCTTAACCAACAAGCCACTCGGCTGGCCCCATAAGTATACTTTTAACTGTCTGTCTTGGAGAAATTTCCATGACAAATTATGTAAGTCTAACTCATTCTTTCTAACCTTTGCATTTTATTCTACAGAACGGTTTTGATGTAGTTTTTTTTAAAAATTAGTTTCTGGTGTACAAGACAGAGCAAAAGTTATACTTTTTACCCCTCAAAGTGACAACCCCCCCTCCCCCAATTTGCTGCCCCACCAATTAGATTTTTAAAACCTTTTTCTGTTTATTTTTAAGTTAAGACTCTGTGGATATGTTCCTCAACTTATTATGTTACTCTTGGGTTTTTTTAAGTTTCATGTTTGTTTTTTATGTTGTTGAGTTGTATGAGTTCCTTATATATTTTGCATATTAGCCCCTTATCAGAGGTGTTTTAGCAAATATCTTCTCCCATTTGGTTGGTTGCCTCTTTGTTTTGTTAGAAAAGAAACCACTAGGCCCATTTTTAATTGGCTTGTCCCTGGAGGGGTTCCCTTGAAAATCTTTTGAGCTAAGATTTTACCAAAGACTGATCTGATAAACATATTCTAAATTCTCTTTAGGCCCTAGTTCTATACCTACTTGGAACAATTTCTAAGGAAACTTTGGGGACAAATTTAATTCTTTCATTTATGAGATGAATTTAAAGCTTACTTTTCTCACTCGTCTTGGCATTAATGATGACTGTTCTTAGTTATTTTTTAGCATAAATTAATATGCTTTGTCCATAAAGTCTCATACTGGGAACTTTGCCTCTTAATAACATTTGTAAAATAGCACTTTGTGTTATTAAGTCATTTGTATGGTCTTTTCAGTTCATAAAGTACCTTAATATTTGTTATTTTCATTATTATGGTATTTCCCCCAAGAGCTAGACAGGGCAGATTATATCTTCATTTTATGGCTGAAGAAATTGAGATCAGAAAGATATGTGACTCATCCAAGATTACACAGCCAAGTTTTGAAAGATCCATGCCTGGAATCACAAGTTTTCCAATTTAGTGCTGTTTTTACGATCGTGTGCTCTGCAGCCTTTTGCCTCATGCCTTAAAATTGGGACCAGAACATGGATAAATAACTCAGAACTCCTGAGGCCTATTATTCTAGGTCCCATATTTTGACCTTGGGAAAATCACTTAACTTCTCTGAATCTTTATTTCTTCATTTGTGAAATGAGTTAATATTACTGTAATATTCCTGTGGGGTTGTTGTTATTAGTGTTGGAACCAAGATTCAAACCCATGTTACCTGATTAGTCTATGCTCTTAACCACTACACTGACTCTTGCCATCATAAGGGATAAAGTAAAATTTAAGTGTATCAGAGATGTGTATCAAGTTAGATATATTTGGGGATGAAGTGACTATCACTCTTAACTCTAACTCGATCTTCTAAAGTAACTCAAGGCTTCAGGGCTCTGGAGAATGAGGCTAAGCTAAATGTTCACTGATTAAAGGACCTGTGTTGTCATCCAAAATGCAAATGCAACATTGGAAAACAGGCCAAGACTTTTTAGAAACGTCTTTGTTCTAAACTGTATTTCAAAAAATGTCTGAAAATTCTCTCTCTCTCTTTTTTTTTTTTTTTTACAGCACTGGGAGGTGTTCAAAAAAGTAACAGAAGTTTTCATTTTAGTTCCTGCACTACTTGGTCTCAAAGGGAACTTGGAAATGACATTGGCATCTAGATTATCGACTGCAGTAAGTTTTTTCATACCTCAAAGTATGTATGTTACCAATGCTGTTTCTCTCAATTACAGAAAACTTGTCTCAGGAAAAAATTTTTGTTCTCTATCTGATAAGTGTCTGGCCCTCAGGGCTATGCTAAGTCGTTATGCCTGATGTGATACCCTGTGAGTTCTCTGGGCTGTCTAATCAGAGAATTATCCTGAGAAGTAGTCTTTTATTCCAGGGCGTTCTGGCAGTTATCATCAGTGCTTAGCCCATGGGGCAACTCAGATATTGGGGTTCTTTATGATTCATTGGTTGGTTGAGTGGGATTTAAACTTTTTGTCATTATAAAAGTAATGTATGCTTATTGTAAAAGCTGAAGAAAAGGGGAAAAAGTATAAAGAAGAAAATTTAAAACTATGCCAAATTCTTCACCTACACATAACCACTAATTCATATTTTGGTATAGATCCTTCTATACTTGGATGGATGACTATACATAGTTAGGCATGTCATGATGTAGATACATACTGTATACTCTAAAAGAGAACTGGAATCATATCTAGTTTATAATCCATGCTATCCATTTGAAGATAGACATATCATGATTATCTTCCCATATCAGTAAATGTAGACCTATACCATTATTTTATTGGCTATGTACTTTTCTTATATATACAGAGGGTGCCAAAAATATGTATACACATTTTAAGAAAGAAAACCTGTATTAAAATTGTAATACTCAAGATATACCGATAACAAAAGATGAATACAAGTCATGTTTGACTTCACAATTACAAGAGGTGCTCAAAGTGGTTACCATTAGCACCCAGCCCCTTCTGATTACCGTGAACTACTGCTTGAGCAACGTTGACCAAAGTGTCCACTTGTATACATTGTTTTGGTACCCCGAGTAGTTCTACCACAGTTTAATCCATCATCCTTTATTGGATATATAGGCTCTTTCTAATGTTTTTCTATTATAAACAATGTGGTAATGAATATTATTCTACATACAGTTTTGCATTCTTATTTCTTTCGGGCAAATCCTAGGATTGTGACTACCATTCAGAAAACAATGCTTTAGTTACATATTGCTTAATAGTCATCCAGAAAGGTTAAATGTTTTTTAAAATACTGCCTCTAGCAGCATTCTGAGTTATTTTTAGACACAGAGGACGTTATTTTTTTTAGCATGACATTGTTTGGGTGTTCACCATTGTGGGACTCAGTGATGGTTAAAATCCTGTGGCTAGTCGGGTTCACTGGACAAGCCATCAGCCCATTGAGTGTTAGCTAAAAATTAACTAAGCCATCAGAGCATATTGCTGATTGCAGTGCCTTTCGTATGAGGTATTTTTTTTCCTTTAAAGAAGCCATAGCAAGTAAGTTCATCTATTAACTAGGGGAGAAGATTGTGTATCTAAAGGTAATCAAGATGGGGCAGCTGAACAGCTGTGTCATTGACGGGCCCACTCTTGTCTCCTCCTGCCCTGTCCCCACTCCCCCCACACACACACACACACAACTGTCAGTGCCCTAAGGTTTCTTGAGAAAAGCAGATGCTTGGGAAGGAAATGCATTAAAAATGTTTTATCAGCATTATTGGCTTGCTCAATTAAGAGGAAATGCTGCATGTGGCCTATGGAAGTTTCTAAGCCCCTTCCTTATATATGAAAGGTCATGTAGCCATACCCTGCGCAGGACAATGGTGCCATATTGGGTATCAGTAAGCTCTCATAACGTGTCAGGACTGTGCTCATTGCTTTACGCGGGTATCTTATAACAACCCTGTGAAATGAGAACTATTGCTCCTGTTTTACAGAGAAGGAACTGAGGCTTAGAACATTGAGTAACTTTCCTGAGGACACAGAGCTAGTGCATAGCGGAATAAGCCACACTCCAGAACATTCTCTTTACCCTGCACAGGATAGCTGTGTCAGTTTATAAAACAGTCACCAACAGCAGTGACAAGAACCTAATAGTCTCCTTCTCTATGTTGTAAGGGTCTCTCCTAAGGTCTCGGTCTGAGCACCAATACACAGTATTTTTGGTACTTGATACAACTTTGATGGTCATTATTTTAAAAAGTTACTATTTATATATACAGAACCCTGTTGCTTATCTCTGTAATGACCGAGTGCGCTGGAGATGATGTCTGGGGATGTCAACTAGTCATTAAGGTGGAACCAAACCTCATAGAGTAGAATTACTTCGCTAAATTCATTTTAGTCTAGTCTATAATTTTGCATGTAATCATTGTAATTATTGAATATTAAAGGGAGTGGAGAATAATAGAAACCAGGCTCCTTGGGCTGGAGCATAAAAGTGTAAGATGACCCTGGAATATCGTGTGGTGCCCACAAATAAAGAAATGTTTAAAAAACAAAACAAAACAAAAAGGTGGGACATGACAAAAGGATACATGGTAACATGCTAGATTCTAGCCAGATCTGGGGATGATTTGAGCCACAAAATAAATGATAGTTGCAGATTATAATATGTGGCATAAAGTAAGAATTCATTAGTCTGTAAAGGAATAACAAGACAGGCAAGGTTCCTACTGTCATGGAATTTGCATAAATGCTTCCAGATATTATTAGTAAGGGTAGTAAAGAAAATAAAACAGGGTAATGTGATGTAGGGTGATTCATGAGGGCTATTTTATATGAAGTGGGTAGGGAAGACTTCTCTGAGAGGTGATGTGTAAGTTGGAACTGAATAATAAAATGAGTCAGCCATATCAAAATCTGGGAAAAGACCATTCCAGGTTACTGTTGGATCTAATCAGTGTTATTATGTCAGTGTAATAGTGTTGAATACTAGTAAGCGTTCTACACAGATTCACTTTGACAGGTGGGCCTAGGGCAGGAATACAAATGGAGGCCCAGAAACGGAGGCCCATGTAACATATGTCTATGTAGTTCCAAATTATACAAGTTTAGGGCCGGCTGAGTGGCTCAGTTGGTTGAGAGCTCACTCAAGGGTTTGAGCTCTGAGCAACAGCGGTTCGATGCCCGGCCCAAGCTGAGCTGCCAACAGGTAGCTGGATGGCTCAGCTAAAAAAAAAAAGAAGCCAAATTATACAAGTTTACAGATTTAGAGAAATATATCTTTCTACTTTGGCAAATATATCGTTTTGAAAATCTGGAAGTCCAACGAGTTCTTGGATTCCTTGGGTTCGGCTTTGGAACATGGTGTGTGGAGAGAGCCAGCCCCTGGTCTGAGGCCTGCTCCCCATCCTCCCTCTTGGGCCCTCTGTCCTGCACTTGGAAAGACCTCACACATACCTCAGGCCCCATGTCCAAGCTCATTCTATGTCCCCAGTGAACAGCCACCCCCGAGTACCCCTTGGGTTGGGCATGCACCCAGTAGTGGCATGGTCTGCTTTCAGGAGGACCGACTTCAGGAAGAAGCCTGGCATTGGGCTCCAGGCCATTTGGTCAGGGAAGTGTATGGTCCCAGGCATCTGGCACACGGCCTAGGAGAGGATGAGGCACAGGCTTGGGGTGGGCACACACCTTGGGCCCTGTGTGCTCCTTACCCTGTGGGTGGGGTACAGCTAATGGAGGGCCGGAGTAGGGCACTCTAAGCCATGGGTCTCAGAGCTGAAACCCCTCTTAGCAGATATAGAGGACTACTGATTCTAGATTCTAGGAGTGAAAACCTATTTTGGCCTAAGAAAAATTATGACATAGAAGAGATTTTGAAGCTACCTTGTGATGTAATTCTGCAGTATATTAAAGCAAGGTGGGCTTCTTTTTGTGCCAGCTCTCTCGCCCATGCGTTCTTTCTCCCTCTCTCCCTCTCCCTCTCTCCCTCTC